CAGGTCTACCGCAGAAAGAAATGGCAACCTACTGCGGGAAAAAATCTGCCTCGTCAGTCATGTATCGAAAGCGTGTATCACGTATGGCACATAATTGACTGATCGGTCATTTAACGCCGACATTTAATTAAGGCTGGAAGTAATAAAAATATGTTATTCTGCTTTCACAATTGAATGCATGGTAGATGATACTTAGCTTTTGTGTATATACAGGTTTGTGTGGATATGATTACAAGAGGCGGTGATATGTGTGTTATATGGTGTAGATTTTATTTTGGAATACTGTTTGGTTTCCTTAAGAAATTGTAGAGCATTATATTGATTTTGTTTAGCGACCTATCAACACCTCTATGGGTTATTTCATGCCGAAATCTAAATATTTTAAACACAATTTTATGACTTCTTTTATATATTTTGTCCGCAATTATATGCCTTCAACTATATATAAAATGTATTGTTGGTAATTCTTTTAATATAACAATGAATTGTTGGTATTTTTACTATAAAATGTATTTTTATACTTTCATAGTGTTTTGTGTTGTTGTTGATGTTTGGGAGTGCATTATTTGCCCATAGCTGAGACCCTAACAGGTGTCACCACGCCGAGTCAGGGTAGACCTGCGAACAACGGCAATTAAGATGTGGTTCCAAGCTCCTCAAAACCTCCGATCTCCCAATCAGTGGCCTTGCTGTCGGATGTAATGCCCAGGAAGAGAGACGGCATATAAACAGTCGTAATAAGTAGTTGTGCAGTGGAGTAACAGATGACGGAAGAAGTGACACGCGTTGCTTGGTTTTGTCGACTACACAGTATAGTAGGATCAGTTGGGCGCCGTCTGTGAGAAAAAAAGAGAACTATGACGCAATCTGCTCTGCAAGAAATTTGGAAACAGCATGCTATGCTGCTTGGCATTCGTGCCGGAAGTTCCAATACAAACATTTCAGAGTGTTTGGATGTCAATCTGAGGACAGTGCAGAGGATTCAGTTGGTTGAGTCTGATGGTGATTATGAAGGTGTTTGGAGTGATTACTAGTGATGGCGACGTTATACCTCCATTCATTTTGCCACAGAACCTCAGACTCAAACCGGAGGACAACATCAAATGCCTTGAGAAGCTAGTGCTGCACCGGGTCAAGAGGGTGACTGTTGGAAGACCTTGTGTCTGGCAACAGGACTCTGTTCCATGTCACACAAGCAGGGGAACCCAATCGTTGCTGTCTGACAACTTCTGCAACCAAATCATCCCTTACACCTAGCTAGCTCCCCAGACTGCGACCCCTTTGATCATTAGGGGTGTGACGCAGTTGAGCGAGAGACCAACAAAACTCTTTATAACACCAAAGATGAACCGAAGGCAAGGATTATGGCAGCATTCACTAACTTAAACAAAGAGCGCGTCCAGAAGAGTTGCAGGAGATTCCGAAGGTGTCTGGAGGCCGCGGTTGAAGCCAATGGTGATTTCATTGAAGAAACGTACTCTTTAGTATTTCGAGATATTTTTGTGTAATTTTGGTAAATATATCTTTAAAAAAAAAAAATAGATGCCAGTGTTATTTCCACTTTTGCATAATCTAGACGACAATTTATCCATCGCACTTTGTGCAATCAGAAAGAGATAGCTAAAATTTCGCGAACCCATCATGAGAAAAGAAGACTTCAAGAATTTAATGCTTCCCTCTGTCGCTCTTCCTTCCAATATACCTTGTGAGAGTTAAATTTACTAAGCACTCATTTCCAGAAATTTCAGCTGTCTCTTTCTGTTACCAATTACGGAGAGCTGAGTTCGAATTCCATTTGGGTTCGTTACATTCACTTAGGAGCAAATACTCTTGGGAAAGGAGTGAATTCATCTCTTCTCCCCCTCCCATTAGTGGGTTGAATAGCAGGACAGACTGGTTTCTATAGCCTTGGTTGGCAACCAGTCTACCACGGAAACAAGCGGCTACCTTCCTGCGGAAAAGATCTTCTATCTATTCATTCATGAATCAAAATAGACATGATCGCCCAAGCGTGGGTCATGTCTGGCGATTAACTGACTGAGCTGGTTAAAGCACGTAATCAACAAGAAAGTTCTAACGTAAATGGAAATTCGAACGATTCTTATACGTAAGATGAGATAGAGGAAAGAGGACTTGAAGAATCTGATAGCCACAGAACGTATTAAAGGAACAAAGGCCAGAATGAAACAGTAAGTATTTGGTTGATCGTAAAATAATGTCCAATTTTAGAATCAACTTTTATTCCTGACGTATTTAAACAGAGTTTAAATCAATCAAAATAGGAACCCTGAACATCTATGCATTACTGGCATCGAGTTACAAGTTTATTTATACCTTTACGATAACAGTCTAAAGGTTTGTACGCCCTTTGAATGTATCCTTGCAACGGGATGTATTTTGGCTAAAAATTTATCAATATGCTTGAAATAGTGGTAGTCAGTCGACAAAAGGTCAAGAGAATATGGTGGATGTGACAAAACTTCGTATCCTAAGTTGGCATGCTTCTGCAGTGCCATCCGGGCAACATGTGACTGAGTTTTGTCATGAAGCAAAATTGGATGTCATTGTTTAATCAATCTTAGTCGCATTTTGCTTAATTGAATGTGCACTTCATTCAGTTGTTGGCAGTACACTTTGGCAGTGATATTCTGGTTAGATCTCAGAAAGCTGTAATGGGCAACGCCAATGGCGGATCGCCAGACAGTCACCATAATCAACTGTTGGTACAATTTCGGTTTTAGAAACTCTTTATGTGCTCCGTCGTGATCAATTCATTGAGCTGATTGTTTACGATTGTCTATTCGATCCAAAATCATTCGAATTTTGCAGATGCAACGTCAAATACATTTGAAAATGTCAACTTTCTTTGACTTTTCACTGAATTCATATAGAATACATTTATCGAGTTGATTCATCTTCCTAACTTTCTTGAGATGGTCCAATATTGTTGAAATGCCGACACCAATTATCTGAAATATTTCTCTGACGTGTTTTTTTTTTCGATTAGTGTTTTCAAATGTTCTTTGTCAAGTGAAGACGAATGTGCTCTACCACCTTGATCTTCAAGGCTCATATCCCCACTGCGGAACTTCACAAATCAGCCCGATCACAAGTAGGCCCTTCACCACATGCTCTGTTAATTTTGACAGCAGTTTGAAAAGCATTTTGACTAAGCTTGAATTCATGAAAAAAAGTAAATGCATTTTTTTCTCAAGTTGAAGATGAGGGATATATCATGTTTTCAGTTAAATTCGGAAAGAGATTGATGTAAAATTAACAAAGGGGGCACTATAAGTTTCTGCAAATATATATATATATATATATATATATATATATATATATATATATATATATAATATGTAATCTATATGTAATATAGATAAAAAATTTAAAATAACAAATGAAAACTACAGACAAAAGTTCATTTTCTCCATCAAGACATTCATTTCTGTAGTTCACTGCTACCAGCAAGCAGAATTTTTTTTTCCTGATGATGGCTATGTTGGTCGAAACTAGTCGAGGAATCTAAATGAAATAATAATAATAATAACCAAAGAATATTAATCTACAACCCAGTGTGTCTGAAGATTTTAATTTTTTAATATTTTTTATTGTTCAACACACACACACACACACACACAAACACACACACACACACACACACACAAACACACACATACATACATACATATATATATATATATATATATATATATTAGAGTATATATATTAGAACATAATTAAAAATGTTTATTCCAAAATCAGACATTAATTTATCGTCTAATACTATTTTCTAATGTA